TACTACAGAAGATTTGTCAAAGATTTCTCCAAAATTGCCCTACCATTGACTCAGTTAACTCAGAAGGGGACATCATTTGACTGGACTGACAAAAGGGAATCGGCTCATGCAATTTTGAATCAATTAGCCTTGACAGGACGAAATTTGCCTGCTCATCTCCACTATAGTTCATCGACAGATCGACGACGGTATAACCTACCAACTATAGATGAGATTGTAGTTGTAATACCAGTTGATGGAACCAAGGTTAGTGGAATGAGAGATGTTATCTTACATCTACATGGAAATAATGAGCTAATGCAAATCAATGAATGTCACCCAGCATATTTGCCATTACATTATGTTTTATTATTTCCACATGGTGAGCTTGGATGGGAACCTGGGATGAAACTGTGGGATGTTGAACATAATCGTCCTTCAACTGATCGGCTTACTCAAATGGAGTTTTATAGTTATCGTTTGTTTGAACGACCCACAGAGTATTCAACAATTTTGAGAGCTGGAAAACTGTTCCAAGAGTTTTTGGTTGACGCTTGGGCCGCAACTGAACAAAATAGGTTGACTTACTACAAGCTTAATCAAGGGAAGATCCGTGCTGAACTTTACCAAAATTTGACAGATATTGATCCAAATGACCTTCAACCCAATCAAATTGGTCAAAGGTTTGTTTTGCCATCTTCATTTGTTGGAGGTCCTAGAGACATGTTTGAAATCTTTCAAGACTCAATGGCTATCACACGATACAACCAACATCCAGACATTTTTCTCACCATGACTGCAAATCCTAATTGGCCAGAAATTACTTCGGCATTATTACTGCACCAAAAGCCTATTGATCGTCCTGATTTAATTGCCCGTGTTTTTGAGTTAAAGAGAAAGTGCTTGATGAAGGAGATAGAAACAAACCGAGTGTTTGGTAATAAAGTTGCGCATGTTTTTGCAATTGAATTCCAAAAGCGAGGCCTTCCTCATATGCATGCACTTCTATTTCTTAAGGGTCCAGACAAAATTCGAACATGTGCTCAAGTAGACAAATTGGTTTGTGCAGAATTTCCAGATCCAAAAGATGAACCTATGCTTTTTGAAACTATCAAGTGTTGTATGGTACATGGACCATGTGGTGCTCGAAATCCACAAGCACCATGTATGGAAAATGGTAAATGCACTAAAAGATACCCTCGAGCATTCGCAGAAACAACTACTATGTATCAAGATGGATATCCTATCTATCGTCGTCGCAATAATGGTCAAGCTCATATTGTGAGGGGGAAAGAAGTTGATAACAGAGACATCGTACTATACAATGCATATCTTTCTAAACGTTTCAACTGTCACATAAATGTGGAAGTTTGCGCCGGAATGAGATGCGTCAAGTATATACACAAGTACATTTATAAGGGTTATGATCGTACAACGATGGTGTTGGGATTGATAAATGAGATCCAACAATATCTCGATACGAGGTATGTTGGACCTCCAGAAGCTGCTTGGCGAATATTTGGTTATCCATTGCATGCAGAGATACCAACAGTTGTACGCTTAGCACTTCATTTACCTGGAATGCATCGCGTTCTTTTTAATCCTGATGAATCATTAGAAACAATTGTTTCTAGAGCTGGCCAACAAATGTCAACTCTTACTGGGTTTTTTTGCATGTTGCGCTTCTATGGAAGATGAATGTCCATTCACTTACCAAGAATTTCCACAACATTTTGTTTGGCTTAATTCAGAAAAGAGATGGAAACCAAGGCGGCAGGGCTATGCAATCGGTAGAATGTACTTTGCTAGCCCTAATTGTGGAGAGAGATTTTATTTGCGTTTGCTATTAACTGTTGTCAAAGGACTAAAATCGTTTCAATGTTTACGCACGGTCAACAATGTTTTGCATGATACATTTAAATCAGCATGTGTTGCAAGAGGACTTTTAGAAGATGATGAAGAATGGATACAATGCCTTAAAGAGGCTGCAGTTATGAAAACTGGTTATCAATTAAGGAGATTGTTTACTATTATTCTTACTCAATGCTTTCCACTACAACCGTATACGTTATGGAATCAATTTTCAATGCATATATGTGATGATCTTGCACATAAGATTCAAACATTGTTTGCCGTTTCTGAACCAACTGAGGCTCAAATTGAAGACTATGGTCTATATCTTTTGAATCAAATGCTCCAAGAATCAGGAAAAAGTTTAATTGACTTCCCGCCAATGCCACAACCTTCTACAAATTGGAGTGCAGTAGTTGATAACAGGTTGATATTCGAACATCAACAACTGCATAATGAGGCACAACAGACAGATGCAGAAATTATTATTGATCGCCTCAACAATGATCAACGAACAACCTATGATGCAATCACTTCCTCAGTCTTTGAAAATAAAGGAACTATTTTCTTTTTGAATGGAGGTGCCGGAACAGGGAAAACGTTTTTGTACAATGCGATTGCATTAAAGTGTCGCAGCCTTGGCCATATTGTTATTACTGTGGCTTCATGTGGAATTGCATCATTGTTATTGGTAGGAGGTCGTACTGCTCATTCAACTTTTTCCATTCCGTTGGATGTATTGGAAAATTCAATTTGTGGATTTAGCAAGCAATCATTACAAGCAGAATTGTTTAGAGAAACAAAACTTATTATCTGGGATGAAGTTCCTATGCAGCATAGACATTGTGTTGAGGCAGTTGATCGCACACTTCGAGACACTTGTGATAGTGAAAAGCCATTTGGGGGTATCACTGTTGTTCTTGGTGGAGATTTTCGACAAATCTTACCAGTTATAACCAAAGGAGTCCGTGAGCAAATTGTGAATGCATCATTAAGACACTCTTTTCTATGGAAGGATATACATGTTCTGTCTTTAAATTTGAACATACGCTTGAATCATGCAAATCTTGAAAATGCTAATTTTGCAAAATTCTTGATGGAGGTAATATTTCTTCAAACTTTTTCTCTATTATATGGTTCTTTTAAATTGACGAAATATATTTACGTTTATGTACTTTAATTGATTTTACTTATTATTTTATTTATTTATTTTTATAAATAGATTGGGACAAATCCTCAGGAAATTGTTAAACTTCCATCAACAATACACAAATGCCAAGATCTAAAGGACATAATCTCAGTAGTTTATCCGCAACTGGATGTGGCAATGACATCGACTGCAACATTTTTAACTGAACGTACAATTCTTTCTGCACGGAATGATGATGTCAGTGCTATCAATACTGCAACATTGAATATTTTTCCCGGCAACACACACACTTATTTGGCAGCAGACAAGATGTCTGAAGATGATGAAATTGATCGTACTATAATAAATAGATATCCTAATAAATATTTAAATTCATTAGATCCTCCTGGGCTACCGGCTTTTAAGGTAGAGTTGAAAGTGGGTTGTCCTATAATGATGTTAAGAAATATTGCACCAAAAGATGGACTGTGCAATGGCACAAGATTGATGGTTTCTAGATGCAATACTCGCATAATTGAAGCTCAAATTTTAACGGGAGAAAAATGTGGCAATTTGGTATTCATACCAAGGATATCCTTGACACCGTCTTCTTCAGAAATGCCTTTTCGAATGACAAGACGTCAATTTCCAGTTCGATTGGCATATGTCCTGACCATTAATAAGTCTCAAGGACAATCTGTGAAATTTGTTGGAGTTTATTTGCGCACACCAGTGTTTAGTCATGGGCAATTGTATGTGGCCCTATCTAGATACACATCCTTTGATCGTATAAGTGTCCTCCTTCCCAATGATGAGCCAGATTCTACTACAAACATTGTTTATCCTGAAATTTTGTTATAGTGTTACTTATAGATCAAACCACTTTTGTCAAAAGGTACAATTTATTTTTTGATAACTTTGTTTCTATTGATTACAAATTGTTATTTTTAAAATATTTTACTATATGTGTCGACTTTTGTAGGATTGGGTCAAAAAATATATGGAGCTCAAAAATATAAATACAACTAGATTGCTTAGATGGGGATGTAACAAGGTAATTTCAATTTGAAAGTGTTTTGATATATATATAAATTTTCTTTTGCTAATATACTAACTTTTTTTTATTTTCATAAATTAATAGATTGTCGTGCATGCTCCTCACTGGGGATACATACAAGTTGATACGAGGACTTTTTGGAAAGTGATGAGGCACTCCTAGGATTTCTAAGAAAGAACAAGTTTGAGTCTCATATTTATTTTTGTGAAAAGCATACATATGCTAGCTACGATCCATATTTTGTAAAGTTTCCGATCGATGTGAAATTTATTACTTACAATAGTTTTGTAAAGCCTTTTATCTGTGTGGAATTTATAACTAAGTTTAGATGTATGTTAGATCATTTTCATTTGAATTATTGATTTATGCTATGAGTTTGTTTTTGTAAATGTAATACACTAGGTGATATATATTTTTTTGTTTTTCTTCCTAATATGCTCTTGAATTACGTTAAACAAAACTAATCATATTTTTATTTGGTTATCTTTTTATCAGGAAGGGTGTTACATTTTCTTTGTATTACAAAACATTGGTTGGTGTGCTTAATTTGTTATTTGGCTTTTTTTTTTTTGTATTGCAGAGCATTGGCTGGTGTGCTTAATTTGTTATTTGGCATATAAATTCACTCAACTTGCTCTATATTTATTTTGAATTAGGCTTCTCTCGTGTTCTCAACATATGAGAACTTGAGGGTCTTATACAGCCCACCGTGAGTTTCATTTCATGATCAAAATCGTTCATTTTGTAAGACTTTCAGCGTATATTATTCATAAAAAAATTAGTTCAATCAAATAGTCGTAAGTTTTTCATTTTGTTGCATTTGTCGTTGAAAAAAATGACGACAATTATATTTTTGAAATAGGCCATTTATTTTTTTTTTAAAACAAATGTGATAAGATTAAAAAGGTTGCTATTATCGAATTGACCTAAATTTTTTTTCATAGATGATATACATTGAGAGCCATATAAAATAAACGGTTCAGATCATCATATCGAGACCCGTAAAAGGCTTTACAAACCCCTCAATTTCTTTCATATTGATATCTAAACATAAGAGAAGTCCAGCCCATTTATTTTGGAGAAAATTTGTTAAAAAGTCCAAGGTAAAGAGGGTATAAGGTATTAGGTCCAGTTGATATTTTTTGTTGATGAGAAGTCCACTTTTTGTGAAATAATTTTGTGAGAAATCCTTTTGTTTGCTTTGGAGAACATTTTTTCCTAATTTTACCCATTAATTTACTTGTTTTTTATTTATTTTTACTATATGTTCAAATTTATATCAACCTGTTCAATTTTTTTTTATTTGTTGAATTTTTATAACCTATTATTTCGATCTGTTCAAATTCATACCATTTTCAAACTTTTCTCTATTTATCTACTCATATTTTCTTTCTCTACTTCTCTTTTTTCGTTATCTATTGAAAAAATCCCTATTGAAAATCTATCTGTTGAAAAAGAAAAACAAAAAATTCTATCTGTTGTAATCATAATCATCAACAATGACAACACCATCTCTCTTTCACTCCTTATCTCCCTCTATCTTTCTCACTTTATCTATATGAATGGAAAAAAAAAAAAAGACAAAAAGAAGGAGCAACCAACACTGGTTTGACCTCAAAACCCTAAACAACCAAACAAAATAACTCAATTTTCTCCCATCCAAAAAAATGTATAGATATATACACATCAGTAGAACGGAATAAGATCGACAAGATTTTGAAGTGAATTTAAGAGTTGGACCTCATACACACAAATTTGTTGTCGATGAGACTAAAAACAAAGCTAGGGTTACGAAAACCCAACAAATCTGCGGTTGGTTACTCAAGACAGATCTCGAGAGCGCACTTCCGATAGAGAAGGAGCAGAGGATAGTGGAATTGTCATAAGAGCCACCGCTAATGGGTGACGACGAACAGTAAGGGAGAGTTTTACAGATATAGACGATTCAGAGGCTTATATTGATGGTGATGATGGTTGGTAGGTAGTCAATCTGAGCTCGTCGGGATGTGTGTTGGCTTGAGACGGGAGCTCTGCGATGGTATGAAAGCTCTCAGAGGACAATTGTGGTGAGCCAAACCAGTGAAGCCAGTGTAGAAGCGACATAATGAAGTTGGCGTCGGAATCCTTTCTGTCGGCTAGATCTGAAGAGCCGTGGCGATGATAGAAGAAGATTAAAGGCTATGAGGCGATAATGGAGGAACGGTAGTTGTGAGGCCCCTGACTTTTTTGTAAACCTTATTAGGTCCCTAAATTTTGAATTATTATAATAAAGCCCTTAGTTCGTCGATTAATCGCAAATTAAGCCCTAGGACTGAAAACGCATCACGGGCGAATCCATACAAACCCTAATCGATCTTTGAAGCTTAGAAATCACTTCTAACACTCTAATATTAATTACTTAACTCTCAAATTTTAGATAAATCGCTCTAAACCTTAACTTTCAATTTTTACAGTCATCGTTCGGTTATTTACCTTTAGATTCAAAGCAAGATAATACAAACTGAATTATTTTACACTTGAAATAGATACTTTAATTGAACCCAAGCCTGCACATTTTTATTAAATCACAAATTGACCCCAAACAAGTACTATTATATATTTATATATATACACTTAAATCTTTTTTAATAATATATTTTACAATTTCCAATATTTGTACAAAATATATATATGACATCTTGGTATATTCAAGGTCTGAAGAAGAGCATGAGCAACATTTAAGGACTATCCTCCAAGTTCTTAGGGATAATCGACTATATGCCAAGGCGAGTAAATGTGAATCATGGTTAAATGAAGTAAAATTCTTAGGACACATGGTATCAAGAATGGGATTGCGGTAGATCCAACCAAGGTGGAGGCAGTATTAGATTGGAGACAACTAAAAACCGTGTCAGAAATCCGCAGCTTCTTAGGATTGGTCGGTTATTACCGGAGGTTCATCCAAGATTTCTCCAAACTAGCTAAACCAATGACTCGTTTGACGCACGGCAGAAGCGAAAGAATGATAAGGCAAGCTCTTTCATATAATTGGACAACAATTTCGCTCTGTGAACGGAGAGAGATCGAGAGAATTGATTCCACCAAGCACAACTAATACTCCACGGCTCAGAAAGAGTAATGTTTACACATCTGCGCCTTCGCCAAGCACATCTTTAAGCTTCACAAAGGAATTGGTAAAACATTGTAGTATTCTTACAAATACATATTCTTTATTGCTAAGATTTTATTTTATAAATTTATTTTGTAAACAACAAATTTTGTTAGGCTACTTGCAAAGCCCATTGCTTCCATGAGGACTAGGAATATTCGGTGTTGTTATTCGATGAGTGCAATCTTAATATTATCAGGCAATTCTAAGGTAAGTATAAATATTCAAGTTCAACATATTCTTTTTCGTAATTCTAATAAATTCTATTAAAAATACATGTTCTTTTTCGTATTTCTGTAGGACAAAGGAAAAGAAAGGCAAGCAATGTTGCTTAAAGGAAAAGAAAGGCAACTTCTTTTGACAAAGGAAAGGGAAAACGCATGTCCAATGTATATATTCCAACATCCTTAAAAAAATAATTTACGAGTAAAACAAAGCCAATCATATTCGTTTTAATGTGACATTGATCATGTATATTTAAAAATGAACTGTGTTGTCAATTTTTTGTGCTCTGTTTGTTTTCTGTATACTACAAACAAAGTATTTTTAGCTCTCTTTAACATTCCTAAAATATAATTATAACCTTTATCAACTCCAGAAAAACTATAACATCAAGCAAAGAATAGAGGAACATAGGCAGTAGAAAATATTTTTAATTTTCTTAAAATCATCATGAGGCAACGAAGAAAGAGAAAACAATTAATTAAAAAATAAAATTGTATATCACAAGGCATGAAGAGGGAAAATGAAGCAAATGGAAAGTGAAGTAGGACAAAGGAAAATGTAAAAAATATTCTTAAATATATCACAAGGCAGGAAGAAAAGAAATAAAATAGTATACGTAATATTTGTATTTTAGGTATCAATACATAATATTCACATTTAGGCACACAATAAACAATGTTATATCCAAAAGCACATTGGCCCAAACGTGGCACGGCGAGAAAGCGGAGAAAAATCAAGAGGAATGTATTTCAACCGAGACAAACTTCTTTAATACCGTGTCGTCGTAGTCGTGCTTTGCTTGGAAACTAGGAACAAAGGCAAGTTGAGGACACTCAGTCGGCCGCAAAAACGATACAATGGTTGCACATCCTCCACATGTTCGTTCTCAATGCCAAGCACATCTTTTAGCTCACAAAGGAAGTATGGTAAAAGATGTGATTTAAACTTCTTATAATATACTCCTACTAATTTACCATTCTGATTTAAATTTACACAGAACCAATATTTGTAGGCCTACTCTTACAACTCCTTTCCCTTCAAGAGGATCTATGTACTATGAGGAATTAGAGAATGTCTATGTCAATGGTTGGTACTCGAGCACATATAAATTCATGTCGTCATTTCTCTTGCAAGCATGGATGTATTATGTCCTTTCTGTTCCGCATTACATTGGATGGAGAAAAATTAGGTAAAATCATCTCCAAACCGTCCTCTATTCGGACATGTTGTTCAAAAGGGAAGGTTTAAGGCTTCCTCTGCTTATTTACACCCCCTTTCACTTCTTCAAGCATTATATATGATTGGGATGATGATAAATCAAAATCGATTTCGACGTTATACTCGAGTTGTACAATGCAACCAATGCTTTTTACAAGTCTTGCGTGCTACATTAGATCAAGAGACTTTACTGGAAGAGGGCCCTACATCATT